CTGTTATATATTTTATATATTATAATTGTTCTTCATCATCTACGTTTACCCTTTACCAGTTGTAATCCTGTTGCATTAAGGGTCCAAAAGAGGACCAAAGTGGGACCTATGGCCATGTGTCCACATCGAATGTATGGCGCATTGGGAAGCATTACTATTCATATAAATATTAGTAGGTATACTTACGGTTCTGGAGTATATAGAGGATTTGCCGGATGACGCACGTACTGAGTACAATGAAACACACGGAATGCCAAGCCCGCCAAGAAATCTCGAGGTGATAAATAACCTGCAACAGGCCTTAGTTGAAATCCAGTTTGAGCTGCTTGAAAAAAAAAATAGATACAAAGATATAACTCACGTATAATGATAATTTATCAGGAAAATTTACACTTAAGAAAAGAAAAAAAGAAACAAAATAAAATTTACATTTAAAAGAAGAAAAAAAAAGAAACAAAATAAAAATCATTGTAGGCCTACCGCTTTTGCAATACCTTCAAACAGTCCATCAAATAGATTAGTAATTCTTTTTGAATTAAACCAATAAATGTTGTATTTTCAATCTTCATCAAAGACAGATACAGTTTTGTGAAGAAGCCCATTGAATGATTTAATACTATATTTGTGCTCACTTTGCAAATAGGCCTATTACGTTATTGTTGCAGGTGAGATCAAAGTTATCAATTACAATTGGTTGGATTTCAGCCAAGCTGCTGAAGATGTTTACGATTCTACGTACTCTGTAGTCACATAATTGGCAGCGTAAATTCGGGTTTTAAATTAAAATGCTGACATCATCTCCATGGAAATGACGTCAAACACACCTTGTAGAAACTGTGAAACATCTTCAAGCTGAGGAACATTATCGACTCTGAAAAACAAATTGACAATGTTTGTGACTTTAGGGTTAGCGATTAATTTCACCGTTTATTAACAAAATATTATCTAGACCCTCCGTATGTGAAAGTCTCTCACGTGTCCCCCTCTATTTCAAATTCCTGGATCCGCCACTGGTTCTTTACACAGTACAATCACAAATAGATTTAAACAATTTAAATAAATTAATATAAAAATAAATAAATAAATAAATGAATTAATAACAGAGCAGGTTGTGTCAACAACAGCAAATAATCCTACTGTGACATAGGCCTATAGTAACACTATACGGTAACAACTGATTTCCCTTCAAATTTAGAATCACATAACACTTTAAACCACATTTCATAAGGCTGTTGCAACTGTTTTAAAATCTGCTTAAAAAATATACACAGACTTCTTAAGGTATCACAGAATAAAGGTACATTTCACTGGCACTGCATTTCTGGACGTTTAAGTATTATTCTAAACGCATTGTTATTGTAGAGACTTTATAGATTTCACATAGTCGCACCATAAGAATAAAAACCATAAATAGAACTTTCTGCTATAGTTAAGTACGGTAGAGAAAAACTACAGTATGGCACAGTTAATTTAACATTAAATTTACTTCAATTTAAATCCAAATTCAATAGTTCCTCCAAAGCAAGTGATGAAAATATTTTACATAATATTTAATACAAAACATCACCATAAAATGGTATTTAATATAATTACTATAAAATGAACTACTGGTTCTCAGTAACAGAAATAATAATGATGCAAATTCAAATAAACAATCCACTAATGATAATACCAATTTTAAAGATTAATCGTTACCTGTAGCCAATATCCCGGTCACAAAGTTTTTTGAAGTTCTGCAGAAAGTCTTGGCACGCATGCGTAGGATAAAGAGACGAGAGCTCTGAAAACACACGACCCCTTCAACAAAAACATAATTAATGATGGTGATAATATTACTACTATAAAATAATGATGGTAATGGTGATGATAATGGTGACCATCTACTACTGTTTGGGCTGAATTATGAAGATTTTTGTGTTCCAATCTCCGGTTCTATTTTATGAAGCTGGACTTCCTAGAAATACTCAAGAGACGTTTAGGCCATTGTTTTCCAACACTGCCCTTCTGCACGTTCAGGAACGTATACAGTATACCGTTAGTGTAAAATACATGTGCTGGATTTCCTATTAAACATTTTCAACTACTAATGCAAAGGCCTGTACTGTAAGTTCTATTACTTTTAAAGGTGAAATAGTATTAGGCATATGGCTAATATATTATTATATGACCGTTACTATTATTGAATATATGGGCTCTATTGGCGCTAAGTTATATAAAACATGACGATGAATCTTAAAGACAATAAAATATCCTATTGTTTCAGTGGCCTTTCACAAGGTCTTATCTAGTTCACCACAACATTATTGTAAATTAATGCTACATTATTATACATGTAGTATGTGTTTCACTCCTGCAAAGAGTTGACATGAATCCACCCATTAAAGAAAACTGTAACAAATTATTGGCCTACCATGTTCTTGTTTCCTCTGCGGTGTATTTTACCCTCGGAATGGGCTGTCCACTAGGATGAAAAGATGGGAGAAAATAACTATAGTAAAAACTTCCAGTACATGTTTATAAACATATTATATAATAGATAGACATGCCCAATAGATATATTATGAATATAAATAGACAAAAAAATAAATACTGCGCTTACTGCTTGTAATTGTAAGCAATGTCCGCAAATACCCTTCTTCTTTGCCGATATTCGTTGTCTTTGAATCCCTGTGGTGATGTACGAAACACGTATTGTCAGAAAAAATAAGTTAAAGCTCGGTTCCCATACAGTCGCTCACCATATCTGCTCAGTAACAGTCGCCGACAGTAGTCGGGAAGGTTGATCATGCCTTTCCGATTGTGTCGGGCAGCTAGCAATGCACCCTGATTCGTCTGAAAAACGCAATCGGCAAAGTTGAAGCAGGTTCAAACTTTCCGATAACTGTCGGCACTGTCACCGATAGGGTGAGTGATTGTATAGAAATCAAGCTTAACATAGTCATGCATCTTATAAAGCTTCGTTCGCATTAGAGACTGTTATGTCTTAACTCCGACTTCCTAGGACTTTTGAAAAAAGACCACTAAAAAAGTGTATTTGACTATTTTTATTCTTTGTGTCTAATACTGGTTACACGGTCATAAAACCTAAAGAATAAGTGATAATTAGTTACCGGGTGATCAGCATCAAAGTCGGTTCCGTACATTAGAACACGGTTCGATGTTTTATCCAGTTCGGAAATTTTGACTGGGAACCATGTAACGCTAGTCATTGGGTCTGCAAAGAATGTATACAACCATTTGTCAAAACACTTCAATTTCAATAAAAATAATCCAACACTCTGCTTCACAATCGAATGGTAATGGTGTAACTTACCAATGGTATTGAAATCTTCTTTTCCAGGTATCTGAACATTACCCAGAAATCTCTCCAGTTCATGTACCACTTCTCTTAGCCTTCCTTTCTTGCCCTCGCAATCAACGTATATTTCAACGCCAGAATTCTTTGATGAGGGGCGTGATTCAATGTGCGTTACGTTTACATCGTTATCCTAAAATTAGAATATTTATATTTGTTTATGTTTATTCAATAAATGTCGTTATATTTTTTTATTTTGCAGTATACAGGTTCGATTCATGTGACAGAAAGATTTTAGTCTCATGACTAAACTCTACTCCCTAAGTGAAGTCTCATTATGAGACCATGGTTTATGAAAGAAACAAGTAAACGAATGAATGAATAAATAAATTGACCGATTAAAATGAATTACTTAATTCATGATTTAATGAATGAATGGATTGATCAATGGACAAGGGACGGATGGATTGATGGATAGATAAATAGATGGATGGGTGGACGGATGAATTAATATATTATGTAATTTTCTAATCATCGCCCGCGCAAATGGGACCGGGGACCCGGCCTCGCCCCCCACTTTTTGGCACAAAATATATAATGTCTTATGGAGATGTTTGTATAAACGGAAAGGAATGCAAGAAAAGAAAGCTAAGAAGGAGGAGAGGGAGCGGAAAGAGAGCGTTTATCCGGTTCCCAACCGAGTTCTCGCAATTCACATTGGCGAATCTGGAGGCGGCGGGAGGGGTTCAGGAGTCCTGACCCCCTCCCTTGGGCAAAAAACCCCAAAAAATAATAATAAAACAAATTAAAAATTAATAAAAAGAAATCTAGACCTACTTACTGTAATAAGAATGAGAAAAATTTACCTGACCGTTTTCAAGGGGAAAGCCTTGAATTTTGAAGAACTTAAAAATTATTAAAAGACAAGTCGGGAAAGCTCATTTCCCGCCATCTAGAAATCGAAATTTTCCCGGGGGGAACCCAGACCATCTTTCTATTTGAGGTTCATCGATTCATGGAATCATTTTCAAAAGGGAGAAACTTTGAATTTAGAAGAATTTAAAGTCATTAAAAGACACCTCAGAAGTCAGGAAAGCTCATTTCCCACCACCTCGGAATCAAAATTTTCCCGGGGGAGAACCTCGACCCTCCTTCCTTTTTCGGATTTGTCAATTCATGGAAAAAAGAATACGTATGCAGCTACTCAATTTTTTTTTATGTATGTATACCACATAAAATAAGAATTTAAAAAATTACCTGAGGAGAAAACCTTTAATTTTGAAGAACTTAAAGGTCATTAAAAGACACTTCAGGAGTCAGGAAAGCTCATTTCCGCCATTTAGAAATCAAACTTTTCCCGGGAAGAACCCGAACCCCATTTCTTCTTGGGGTTCATTGATTCATGGAATGGTTTTCAAGAGGGGAAAACCTTGAATTTTGAAGAACTTAAAAGGCATTAAAAACCGCATCAGAAGTTGGAAATGTTCATTTCACGCCACCTAGGAATCAACATTTTTTTTCGGGGGAGAACCCCTCCACCCCCTTTCTCTTTGTGGTTTATCGATACATGGAAAAAAAGAATACGTATGCAACTACTCAATTTGTTTATGTATGTATACTTATACACACATAACAGGCCTATTTACTGTAATAATGAGAAAGTTTACCTGACCATTTAAAAGAACGGGAATTAACCTTGAATGTTGAAGAACTTAAAAGTCATTAAAATACACCTAGCTCAAAAGTTGGGAAAGCTCATTTCCCGCAACTATGAATCAACATTTTCTCCGACCCCCCCTTCCTGTTTGAAGTTTTTGGGAGACATTTTGACCTCACCCCTCTAAATTTCAACCCATACCCCCTGATTCATATTCCCATCCCTCTTACTAGTGTGCCCCAATCCACTTTGAAAAATGTTCCACCGGTCCTGTTAATTACCGTAAAATAACTTACTTTAAAAGTTTTCAACGCATTCACTAGTTCATCCATTTCACTCTTTAACGTAAAAATAATTGGACTGGTAGTGAAGGTATCAAACGAAGACGTTCGTCGCTGTAGTTTAGGCTCATTCCGTCTAAGCAAGGGTCCATTCTTCTACAAAGTAAACAACAATATAATTAATTTATAACATAAAATAACTGTCATATTATTTAGTGATATGGATCCCGAATGTGTTTTCAGGCTTACGGAAAAATCAGAAATTACAATAGGAATAATGAAACTGATTAGATATATATAATATTAAATATAATATAATCAAAATCAAAACATAATGTTCGAACAAAATAATATGGAGTATTTATAATGTATTAGATGATTGTGATTTACCCCAGCCAACATTGACAGTGTTTGGTTTTATACTTAGTTAACCCATCTTCTAATTAATAAATAATAATTGAAATATAACAGAAAAGAAATCTGACAAAGAATTTAAAAAAGACATCAACTTTTACTTGAACTCAAACCTGGAACCCTTCGCATATATGGCAAACGTCGTAGGCCTAATAATTTGACCACAAATGGAGGTATAT